GATAACACATTGCTCATTTTGCCGGTAGCAAGAGGTGGGAATCACATTGACCACACTTTATAACATATTATAACACACTGACCACATTTTATAACACACTGACCACATTTTATAACACACTGACCACATTTTATAACACATTGACCACATTTTATAACACACTGACCACATATTGTAACACATTGACCACACATTGACCACATATTGTAACACATTGACCACATATTGTAACACATTGACTACATTTTACAACACATTGACCACATTTTATAACACACTGACCACATATTGCAACACATTGACCACACATTGACCACATATTGTAACACATTGACCACATATTGTAATACATTGACCACATATTATAACACATTGACCACATATTGTAACACATTGACCACATATTGTAACACACAGACCACATATTGTAACACATTGACCACATATTGTAACACACTGACCACATATTGTAACACATTGACCACCTATTGCATATACAGTGGTCTCCGCCTAAGATCCTGGTGCTAGGGAGCAAAGAAATGCGGGATCTTAGGCGAACCGGGATCTTAACCGACGAACCCAAGGAAGAATCTATGGTGACCCATGCTAAGGCTTACAATCGGTAAAATGGTCTCCCCCACCTTAAAATAAAATTAACTGACGTGACCCCTTGGTGGGTTTATGACATATGGCGAGCAAAGAGTGGTTAACCTTGATGACCTATCACACAGCATAGTGGGATGAGGCGTGCCATTTTCAATTATTATCCTATCATGAGTCTCAAGATCTACGCTTATTCAGTTGCCCCTCCCCTTTACCTGTCAATAATTTATAGCTTTCCATCTCTGACCGAGTTTCCCCCCCCCAAACGGCTTTGTCGTTACACACAATTACGTTGTGAACACACCACTTAAAATTTAGTCTGTCTAGCAAATTCGGGTGTAGAGACAACTGCTGCAATCAACGCCTACTGCAATGGTCAGGGAAGAGTTCACGGTTCGATGTGATCCCGCCAGGAACGAACGTGTAGGCCCTACCCACCCAGCGAGTGATGTAAGTTTAGGGGGAGAGCTCAGGTGTGAGTGCGATGCGTGGGGAAAACAAACGCGTCGGTTAGTTCACACCCCGGTGTGATCCCGTCGGGGGCAAACATTGTATCGCTTCATTCAGTTTTACAACCTGTATGTGATCACATTCACGATAGTGGCTGATCTTTGACATGACGGACAGTTTATTAATCTCAACTTTTCACTCTTGTTTGATCGGCTGTGCCCGCCCGGGTTTCTGTTCCGCAATTTATTATCTGAAATGCGGGATCTTAGCCGAATGTAGACCTTCAGAGTGAATCAGAGCGGGATCTTAGGGATGACTTTTGTATAGTAAAAATTCTGTTTTCTTAAAACAGCGGGATCTTAAGCGAACCGGGATCGTAAGCAGTGGGATCTTAGGCGGAGACTACTGTATATACACATAGAGCACACATTATAACACATAGAGAACACATTGACAACACATTATAACACATAGAGAACACATTGACAACACATTATAACACATAGAGAACACATTGACAACACATTGCTCATTGTGCCAATAGCATGAGGTGGGGAACACATTGACAACACTGTATTTTAGATTTTGGTGAGAGGAAAACATTTCTTTGTTGAGAGGTCCTTGATGACCTGTATGGTCTTTTCAGCCTTTGAAAATGGATTGCACAAAAGTTACAAAGTGTAATCAACCAATTATTGCTGACTGTCACCTCAAAATGATCCGTTGAAAGTACAAAAATATACCCACCTTCATCTTTTCCTGTTCAACTTCTTTTGCAACAACATCAACCATTTCAATGAAAGTACCCACAATCTTTTGAAAGTCTCCAATCTCTGGGGAAAAAAAACAACAAACAAAACCACTGTACATATTATGTGTAAAGTGACAGGACACAAGCATCATGAATGACCTGAACTTGTAGGGTCACAGCACCAATGGGAAAACAAAACTGGAAGATTTTGATATCATGAATCAGTCAAAGTTACCCATTCAAATATCAACTGAAATAAGCAGTTCTATTGAACATTTTTTAGGAGCAGACTGTTGGTACGCTACAATTTGACACTTTGCCGTCACATTTCGCCGATCGGCGATGTTTACCACCCAGTTTCTTTCGATTTTCCCCCAAATGCCTTTGCCTTTGATGGCAAGGGTTTTTACATGAGCCTTGTGATGGCAAAGTGGTAAAAGCAAATAAAATTCCCAGGGAAGAAAGAAAACATTTCTGCTAGAACTGTTGGTATGGAAGGCCTACATGGTTCATTTGAAAGCAAAAGGAAAAACACATCTTGCACTCTTTGGTGTAGAATGTCTTTAACTCTTTATCTCCGGCAAGCGGCTCCCAGCATCTCCCAGTCGGAACTGTTGTGCCGGTGAGCTGCTGACAGTGGCTGGGGCACATTCCTTTACAACAGCTTCGAAGACAAATTACTTTCCGGTTAGTGCCGAAAACAAGTCTCTTTTACCGGGAGTTCCTTCATTAGATGAAGAGCTATCGAGGTACGTTCATACGTTTTGATTTAATTACCAGTTTACTGAAACATAGTCAATTTTAGATTTCATCCCAAAATAGGGCCCCGGCATTGTGGATTTACCCCCCATGGAGATAGAGGGTAAAACTGCATTTTAGGTGTGTAAATTATTAGACCCAATGTACAACAATATAAACACATTAATACAGTGGAACTCGGATTCAACGAGGTTGTTGGGCCTGACCTAAAATCTCGTTGAATCCGAGTGTTCGTTATAGCAAACACGAGATTTTGTGTAGATAATTCCAGGCACTGAGCAAGTAATGTACAAGAGAAGTCACAAGTAGTGCCTGAAATGCCTGCATATTATGAGCGGTGTAAAAAAAAAAAAAAGACTGATTCGTTAAAATACACACGCCTGTGTCATCTCGGTTGTTTACCAAAAAGTTGTGTTGCTGAGTAGAGCCTAGCTATATGCGACATTCAACGCCCGGGCCGCTAGTGCAGGCCGCCCATCCGACCCCGACACACGCCAGAGTGGACACGTGCGCGTGCCAACAACACATGTGTTGGTATTAAAAAGGCCGCTGATTGGTCGCATGCAATTGGGTACGTGAATAATGGTTCACGATGCAGGTGCAATGGATGGTTTCTGGGAATAGATAAAGTTTGTTCTGGGAGAAAAATGAGCGAAGCCACGTCTGCGGGGGCTGTTCACCCTGGAAACGACCTCACTGAATCCGAGCTCGCTGATTTAAGTGCTCGTTGAATCCAGGTTATTTTTATTGATTTTAAAGAGAAAAAAAACGGGGAATCCATCTCATCTCGTTGAATCCGAGCTCGTTAAATCCAATAGTAGGCCTAAAACAAGATGACATTCCCCTGACTAAACAAACGTTACAAAGAAAAATTTTTAAAACTAAATATCTACACTTCATTCACTCACAGTAGGCCTTACCTTTCATGAACAGCAAGATCTGCTAGTGCAACTAGAGGCTAGATCTAGATCTATATATTGCTGTCTATGGTCTAGCAGCTATCAAACAGAAATGGGGAACAAACAATGAACAAAATAAACACTCTTCTCTGTCTCTTCATCAGTTTCACATTCCATACACTGCTGTAGATCTAGGCGTTGTCTGAATCTTGGCGTTGGACAGCCTAGAACTGAAAATGTGTAAACTTACTTTCTACGAATTCTTTACATTCTTCTTTCAATTCTTTTGTTTGCTGGGCGACTTCGGGTTCCAATACACGGATTTTATTCAGTTCATCGAAATGCAGACCAGCTCGAGCGAGAGCTTCGTCAGCCATCTTGACGTTGGTATGCAAGCTTTCGCAGGAAAAGCTAGCAGGAAATAAGTTTCGGCATAAATTCAGAAGTTTCGAAATTAAAGTATATTATGGTTTAAAATATTGCTTAGCAATTATATTAATTAACTGTTGATCAAACCAATTTAAAAAATCATTTATAAATATATAGATCTAACATTTATTTTGTCTTTCGAAATTATGCAATACAGTGCAGTTCATATTGTCTCAAGGAGTTTACAACTAAAGGAGCCTCCTCTCTCGCTTCGCGGCGCCACGAGCAGTACGCGAGGTGGGGATCAAATATGGCCGCCGACTGTGGGCTAAATCACGAACTGTGACATTTCTTTTTAAAGAATCTTATCGTGCTTCATTAGGCCTACTACATAAAAAACTACAAAACAACGAATTTTAATTATGGGAAAAAATTGTTGGTTAAAACTCGATATACCGGCACCCTTGGGACGAGCATGATGTTGGCGGGACTGTTGTATAGCCCCGACTGCCCAACGTCATGGGCCCGCACTAATAAATACAAATATAATATGCGTCATGAATGTAAATTGTAGCTTGACTACTCGAATTCGAATAAGTACCGCGGTTGGGGGATACCACTGTACTAGTACAAATCCGTTTTATTTCTCCCCCAGTAAATAAAAGAACAAGAGATCATGAAATTTTAGTGATTTTATTAGGTTACTGTGACAACTTTTCCCATTTAGGAACAAACCAGTTTCATTAAATTTTAATGTAAACCAAATGTACAAAAAAAAAATTTTAATGCACAGAAAATTGAGGTAGCATATTATATGTGACTAACCCGGTACCGGTACTAGATCTAGATCTAATATTGAGGGTTATTTGCCTACAAAAAAATATCTAAATTCTAGATATGTTTCCCTTGATCGTCTGTCGTGGCAAGCTGGAAAATAATAAAA